AATCCAACAACTTCTAGATGATGCAAAGAACAATAACATAAGATTGATCAGAGTCAATGAAAAAGCAGGAGATAGCACAAGTGACATTAAAAAAAAAAACCTGTTCACAGAAGCATGGCAGAAAACTTCCCAAGCAGGGCAACAGAATTTGACATAGAGTAACTGAGACATATAAAACTCCAATTAGCCATGACTGAAAAAAGATCTACAACAAGGTATCTTATAGTCAAGATTCCTGAAATTCAACACAAGAAGAGAATATTGAGAGCTGTTAGAGAAAAGAAACAAATCACCTATGAAAGGACACCCATTAGAATCACAGCAGACTTCTCAACACAAACCCTCAAGTCAGTCAAGGTGAGCTTGGAGTAAACTATTTCAAGCCCAGAACAAAACAATCTCCAACCCAGAATGATGTTCAATTTTCAAAGATTATTTTGTTGGTACCGGGAATCTAACACAGGACCTTGTGCTTGCCAGGCAGTTGCTGTGCCACTGAGCTATATCCCCAGTGCATCATGTCCTGTATGAACATGGTTTGCTTGGTGAGGCACCCATAGAAGCAGCTAAGCCTTGGCTCATTCAGATTCTTGGTCACACTGAGGCCTATGATCAAGGGGTGTGCAAAGCCATAGCTGCTGCTCTCCAATGGCTATGATTGAAAATTATGTATTTATTTTTTGTAATTCTCTCTTTTTTTTTTTCCAGTACTGGGAATCGAACTCATGACCTTGCACTTGCCAGGCAGGCTCTGTGCCACTGAGCTAAATCCCCAGCCATGCCCCCCCTTTTTTTCGTCTATTTTCCCTTTATTTATTTATTTGTGAGGGGCCTTGAGAGAAGTTCTCACTATTGAGCTCAGGCTAGCATCAGATTCATGGCAATCCTCCTGCCTCAGCTTTCCAACTGCCATTTTTTTGCTATAACATTTTGAGGTCATGTTGGTAGGTACACACAAGTTTAGGAATATTTGTAACTGGACGCTCCTTGAATCCTATTCTTTTGGATTTTTATGGAAGCTTCATTATATAAGCATGATGGATTAAATCATTGGCCATTGGTGATCCATTTAACCTTCAGCATTGTTCTCTTGTTTGGAGTTTGGGAGTTGGGGCTAAAAGTCTCCATCTCCACCAATCTCTTGATCTTCCAGATCACCAGCCCCATCGTGGAGCTTTCTAGGGTCCCTGCTAGCAGTGGACTCATTACAAAACACACATCCCACAGGGATTCCAGGAACTATGTGCCAGGAGATAGAATGAAGATCAGTGTCACATCTATCATCTTCTTGGGGTTTTCTTTCCAAGTTGGTTTTTTTTTTTTTTTTTGAGATAGGGTCTCACTATATAGTTCAGGATGGCCTTGAACTTGCTTATGTAGCTGCAGGCTGGCCTTGAACTCATAGTGATTCTCCTGCCTCAGCCTCCCAAGTGCTAGGATTACAGGTATGCACCACCATGCCCAGCCCCAAACTTTGCTTTTAACTCAGCTTCTACCCTGTGTTTAGTTGACTATGTTTTCTGCATCCTCTCCTTTCTCTTCTACTCATTTGAAAGTTAGATATTTTATTTTTATTCTTATATTGGTTAATCAATAAAAAATGTAAGTATACTAATAAAAATTTATCAACATTTATCTTCCTCCAGAGCAATATTGGGACCTTATAATTCTTTAACTGCAATCACTGTTTGTTTCAAGCATTTATTTAATATTACAGCTTTACCTCGCTTGTAATCTGCCCTTTTCTATAACTGTTATCTTTCCTGATTTATGACAAGACAACTGAGGTTCAAAGAGTTTAAATGACTTGCCTAAGGCCATACATATAACAAGTGGTGAAATCCATGTAGAATCTACCTTCCCTGGGAATGAAGCATGTGTACACTTGAAGTCACTGGGAGATGCTGACCATTTCACTATATGGGTGCTATGGTTTATGTCTGGATGTTCCCCCAAAGCCTCATGCAGTCACGGCTTCTAGAGTTTAGGACTGACTCATGGTTCACTGTTGGGATTACGGGTGTGAGTGCTACACCTGCCCTAGGGCGGGCAGCCTGCATACAAATAAGGGAGGGAAGGAGGCTGCTTGCCACTCCTCCCTTGTTGCTCCTGTTGCTTTTGCTGTCTTCCGGTGCCACGAACTGTTGCCCTCTGCCATGTGCCACCCAGCCTTGGAGCCAGCCGAGTATGGACTGAAACCTCCACAAACTGTGAGCTAAACAAACCTTTTCTCCCTTTAATTCTGGGTGTCAGGTATTTTGTCTTAGCAAGGAGAGAAAAGACAGTGAGTAATTTTTCAATGAGCAAATTTGTACCACAAAGAGGCCTAGTGAGTATCAAGTGTCTCTCAATAGTAAATAGGACAAAATGGGACTTTTGCCCTTAGTTTTGGCCATGTATTGAAAAATTCATGCTTTATGCACTTTGTGTTTCCCAGAATCTCATTTTTTACTATAAAGAAGTGACAAACAACAGGTAATATGCTGAGAGTAGATAATGATATGACAGAAGTGTCTACCACCTCATCCTTGTGTAAGACCATTAGTATTCAAAGAATTGGTATTATTCTTGGTGTTTCTTCTTGGAGACTCCAGTCTATGTGTCCACTTACCTATCCTTTTGTTACAAGCAGTTCCTTTAGAAAGGGCTTGCCAATCAAAAGTAGTCCAGATCCTTCTTGCATTGAACAAAGAATTGGACGAGACCAGCCAAAAACAGTACCAAAAGTTTATTTGAAGAGTGAAGGGTGAATGGGTATGAGAGAACCCAGCTGTGCAGAGTGAACTTGGGCAGAACAAGAGAAAAAGAAGATAAGAGCAAAAATAAAAATAGAAGTACACTCGGCATCTTGGAAATGCAGTGGGCTATGGTGGGAAGTCGTGATAGGGCTCCTCATGGCATCTGGTCTCTCACACTGTCCACATCTCGTGGGAAAAATCATAGCCTGGCATGGTGGTGCACACCTGTAATCCCAGCACTCTGGAGGCTGAGGCAGGAGGATTACTTCGAGTTTGAGACCAACCTGAGCTGTGTAGTGACTTGAAAGCTAGCCTGGAATACACAATGAGACTCTGTGTCAAAAAAAAAGAAAGAAAGAAAGAAAGAAAGAAAGAAAGAAAGAAAGAAAGAAAGAAAGAAAGAAAGAAAGAAATCGTAAGATTTGATACAGTTTAGATGGATTCAGGAAAAAAAATACTTGAGTGGCTCATCCCAGGCTGGCCCCAAAAAGAACCAGGACAAGATGGGGTTAGTGCAAAGTGGCTCACTGGTTCACGGCCAGTGCTAAGCTCTTTACATAGATTACCTTAAAGTTTCTAATTAGTCCTGTGAGAAAGGTTTTAATATCCTTTATTCACAGGATACAGCTAAGCTTAGAAACTTGAGATGACTTCTCCAAATACACATCGCCACTAAGTGGAATAGCTGGGATTTGAACCCGGGTTGGCCTGGCTATCCCTCCAGATTGCCTTTATTTTTTGTTTGCTTGTTTGTTTTGTTTTTGTTTTTTGTTCCGGTACCGGGAACCGAACTCACGACCTTGCGCTTGCCAGGCAGGCGCTGTGTTGCTGAGCTAAATCCCCAGCCCCCAGATTGCCTTTAAACAAGATGATGTCTATGATTCAGCAGTTTGAAGGTTAAAAGTGGGATTACAAGGCATTCTTACTAGATCCGTTCCTTTCCGATCTCCCTGAGCCAGGGGAGAAGAATTCGGCATGGTTTTCCTTTGACTTCATTGTGAAGTTCCACAAGATTCTGTCTTCTCGGGGCTGGGGATTTAGCTCAGCGGCAAAGCGCCTGCCTGGCAAGTGCAAGGTCGTGAGTTCGATTCCTGGTACCGGAAGAAAAAAACAAAACAAAGATTCTGTCTTCTCTACACACAGTTGGTGCATTGAAAACGGGACCCCAGCCCTGTGTGGTGGCCCACGCCTGTTAACCCAGCACTCAGGAGGCTGAGGCAGGAGGATGGTTGTGAGTTCGAGAAAAGCCTGGGCTACAAAGTGAGCTCAAAGGCCAGTCTGAACTGCATAGCGAGACCCTGTCTCCAAAAGGCCAAAAAGAAAAAGAAAGAAAAACAAAACAGAAAAAGGCACCCCAGCCTCTTCTTGCCATAGCGCAGCCGCGAACCGCTCACTCCACGCCAGGTCAAGGGCAGCAGGGTGATCCCCACGTCCGCTTCTCCCGCTTCTCCCCGCCAACCACCGCGCCTCCTGGGTTTCTATCTTCATTGCTTTTCTGCAGTTTCGTAGCCTCCTCTGCTCCTCCGCATGCACGGCTTTCCCTGCTGAGGACGCGATTCCCATCTCCGGCGCAGCTGTCTTGCCAGGGGTCCCTGAGGCCGCTCTGACTCAGCTCCATTCCTGGGACAACCCGGTCCCACCCCAATGCAGCGCAGTTTCAGGAGTGGGAAGCTGCCCAGCGGCTCCCGCGGGCCAGACCTGGTCCACATACTCGCGCTGGGTGTGCAGACGGGAACTAGATCACGGTGCCCTGACGGAGACCAGCGCGCGCGGGGAGCCAGGGAGACGAGTGTCACAGCACGGGTGTGCGCGGATGGCGACGTGGTCCCAGCGAGTCAGGCTCCTCGAGGCTGAAGGGAGCTTGCAGGAGCCTTCAGGGAGAAGGTGAGGACTACCTGACTCTGAAAGAATGAGTGGGAGTTTCCGTGATTTCCTACCAGCTGGGTTGCTATGGTTACAGAGACAGTAGGCGAGCGGAACTTAAGCAGCCCGGGTAGCGGAGGTGAGAAAGTGCACGGGATCCCGCTTCAGGTCTTTTCATGACCTCCAACAGTCGTTTAAGGTGAAAGCAAATTTCTGTTCTTGTCATTCTTCCACAAGGAAGGAGAACGTCCTTCTCTTTTTTTTTTTTTTTTTTTTTTTCTCCGGTACGGGGAACCGAACTCACGACCTTGCGCTTGCCAGGCAGGCGCTTTTGCCGCTGAGCTAAATCCCCAGCCCCCGTCCTTCTCTTTTGCCTCTTTGTGAAGGTTATTCTGTGGATAATCACGTGTGTCACGTTTCCAAAGGTAGTCACTGTGCCTCGGTGCTGGGCTGGGTCCAATCTTGTTTCCTAGACGCTTGTTTGCGGCGCCACCTGCTGGCAAGAGCTGGAAGTTCAGCAGTCCAGTCATCACGGGACTCCTTTGGTTCGACCTTCAGGTGTCCTAGAAGGAGCCCTGACGGGTGTCTGGAGGTGAGAAGTTCGGAATGGGTTGTTTCCGGTTCTCTGGGGGGTGGGCGCCGAGAGGAGGAGGAGCTGGCTATGACGGACAATGGCCAAACCGAGGGGTTAGTCCCCATTCCTCGGCTCCTAGAAACAATCAAGTTGCTTGAGCGGAATCCGTGGCAGATAGGGTGTGATCTGTTGGGTTGAGGGGCACTTCCTCCAGGGCCACGCCCACGGGGGGCGCTCACAGCCCAAACACCCATCATCCACGCTGCGTCTCTGCTTCTCCTCCCTGGCCTTTCCCTGCCCATTTTCTCCCACTTTCCTCCTTCTCCCCCTTTCTTCCTCCTCCCTCTTTCCTCCCTCCTCCTCCTTTTTGAGACAGCCTCACTGTGTAGTTCAGGCTGGCCTCGGACTCACGGCGATCCTCCTGCCTCAGCCTCCTGAGTGCTGGGATTATAAGCGTGCACTGTTACTCCCGGCTCCTTTCACGTATTTATTCACTTCTCATCTCATGTTACTCCGTCGCAGAGCCACGTCCCTGGAAAGCCAGGCTGCCGGGGGAGGGGACACGGGCCCCAGCTGCTCAGTGCCTCGGGGCACAGCGGCAATGACTCAGCCCTGCTTGCAGTGGGGCCAGAGCTCCCGGCAGAGGCGAGGCCTCAGCTCCCCACTCGGCTCCCGAAAGAACTTTTTCAGGGTTATGTTCAGTGGAGCGGGTCCTCGTCACTGCTAGTAGAACTGCCTCTGGAGTTCCTGTTTTAACCCCCAGTTTATTTATCACATACACTGGCCTTGCTGGGGATGGTGATGCACGAGTGTAATCCCAGCGTTTAGGAAGCTGAGGCAGGAGGATTGCTGTAAATTCGAGGCCAGCCTGGGCTCTATAGTGAGTTCAAGGCCAGCCTGAACTACATAGTGAGACCTTGTTTCAAAAACAAAAACTGAAAAACAGAGACAACAAAAACAAAAACAAAAAACAAACAACAAACAAAACAATACTCTGGCCTGAAGAGATAAGCCAGAACCAGGCACCAGCCCTTGAAGGACCCAGAATCACGATTTTATGAGAAGTGATAAGAAAAAGTCAATGATTGATAAATTGCAAAAAATTACAATAAAATACGTACTGCTTTTAATTTCCCTCAAGATACACCTCTTTGCTTTGAACACACATCTCCCGTCATTCTTGCCTCCTTCCAAAGCAGTTCTGGGAGTCCTCTTTTGTGAGTCTCTTTAGTTGTGCTGTTATAGCTGCCTCTATGTCCTGAACTGATTCAAAATGTTTACCATTCATGGTCATTTTGGCTCTGGGGGGCCGGGGATATAGCTCAGCGGCATAAGTGCCTGTCGGGCAAGCGCAAGGTCCTGAGTTCGATTCCTGGCACCAAAAAAAAAAAAAAAAAAAACTGCAGGCTCTGGGGAAAAGCCAGAAGTTGTATAGTGTCGGATGCAGTGAATCAGGTGGGTGAGGACATAGCCGTATGTTATGAGCCTGACTTCCCACTGGACTGTACTCAGAAGCAACATTTGCAATATTTTTGATCACACCTTATAAAGACATGACAGAGAACTGTCAGAACTGCTTCCGAAAGTGGCAAGGACAGCTGGGCGTGGAAGCTCATGCCTATAATCCTAGTAATTGGGAAGCTGAGGCAGGAGGATCACCATGAGTTTGAGGCCATCTTGGCCTGCATAGTGAGTTCAAGACCAGCCTGAACTACGTAGCAAGACCCTGTTTCAAAAAAACAAAAACAAAAAACAAACAAAAAACTAAAAAGAAAAGAGTGTGGCAAGGACAATGGAATAAGTGTGTCTGAAGTGAGGGGGAGAATTTTGAGGGGAATTAGTAGCAACATATCTTTATTACAGTAAGTGTTAAAAGAAAAAAAATGAAAATATTCACCATACGTTTTGATCGTGTCTCATGTATGGTCCTTTCTGGTTTAGGGTTACTTCTGGCCAGGGGTCCCATATCTCTTGAATTTCTTGGAACTATTTTCTTTTCCTTTCTCTGGATTCTTCCTGGGTTGCCCACGTTCACTCCAATGTAACTCTCCAGTTCCACATCTCAGCGAGGAGGTGTGGGGTGGGGCAGGGGTGCGTCTCCCTCCTGTAAGGTCCCTGAGCTCACCCTGCAGACTGGCCCTGTCCCCGTCTGGGTCCCCAGAGGGCTCCCTGCCAGGAGGACTTCCTTCACTTGTTGAAGCTGCAGGCCCTCTGGATGTTTCCCTGGTGAAGAAGATGGAAACTCAAATTCTTCAAAGGCGATTAGCCGGGCATGGTGGCGCATGCCTGTAATCCCAGCACTCCGGAAGCTGAGGCAGGAGGATTGTTGTGAGTTTGAGGCCAGTCTGGGCTACAAAGGGAGCTCAAGGCAGCCTGAACTACATAGCAAGAGCCTGTCTCAAACGAAAACAAACAAACAAACAAAGGCAATTATACCCAATGACCAGTTGCTGCTTGTGCTGAATAAGACAAGAAGAAAAATCTGGTACACATGGGTTGTTTTATTTTATTTTATTTTATTTAACCCTAGGCCTTCACAATAAAATCTATTGCCAGCACTTTTTTCTTTGTCTTTTTGAGGCAGGGTCTTGCTATGCAGTTCAGGATGTCTTTGAGCTCACTTTGTAGCCCAGGCTGATCTCAAACTCATATCGATCCTCCTGCCTCAGCCTCCTGAGTGCTGGGATTACAGGCATGTGCCACTACATCCGGCTAACACTTTTATTTGTCTCTTGAGACTTTTAATTATTTTTCAGTTAGTCTTTCTAAATGACTTTAGTTGTCCAGGCGGGGCTTCAACTTGGGATCCTTCTGCCTCAGGTTTCAAGAGTGCTAGGATTATAGCCCGTCCCATTGTGCTGGCTCTGGTAGTGTCCTCATTTTATAAGTAACAATACCCAGGCCCAGAAGCATCAGGTAATTGCCCATGCTTCCAGTGGTCCATAGCAAAGCAGAGGCCAGGCGTGGTGGCACATGCCTGTAATCCTAGCACTTGGGAGGCTGAGGCAGGAGGATTGCTGGGCTGCATAAGCAAGTTCAAGGCCAGCTTGCACTACATAGTGAGACCCTGTCTCAACTCCCCCGCTCCAAATAGCGAAGCAGAGTTTCAGAGCCACCTTTGCTGTACTTAGGAGCCCTCTGCACACGCTGATCCCACTACAGCCCCGTCCTACACGGGTCATGTCCACCTAAGAATAAAGCTTGCCGCAGAGCCCAGACTCGAGAAAGGCTTCCCTGTTATTATTCCTGTTTGATTTTGCCCTCTATTGACTATGGGCTGAGCTGTGCACCCCCGCGAGGTTCATATGCTGGAGATCTAACCCCAGCAGCTCAACGTGACGGCATTCGGAGACGGGCCTTTGAGAGGTAAGCCCGATGGTGCAGCCCTCACGCTGGAATCAGTGCCCCAGTAAGAAGAGACACAGAGAACCTGCTTCCTTTTTCCCTGGTCTGATGAGACCATGGTCATCTGGGAACGAGGAAGCGGGCTCTTACCAGACACTAGGTCAGCTGGGGCCTTGATCCTGGGCTTCCCTTCCTCCCTGGCTGGGAGGAGTACATGTTTGTTGTTTAAACCACAGCAAGAAAAGAGACCAGCCCTGCTGATACCACAAGTTTGCACTTCCAGGCTCCAGCGCTGTGAGGAAACACTTCTGTTGCTGAGGCCGGCCAGCCTGTGTGCGTTAGGTCAATTCTGGCAAATTACTACGGTGCTCAGAGCCCTCCTTAATGACAGCATTTCCCCTGGAGCCAGCGAAGAAGGTTTCAAGAAAGAAGCCGCAGGTTCTGTGATCTTTCCTTGATAGAGCTGCTGTCTTTGGGAGCGTTTTCTTTTTCTGTCTGCAAGGAGGAGAGACTGGAAAAACAGGAGAGAGTCCTGGTCTTTTCTTTTCCATGATGGTTTATGTGTAGCTACCACTGAAAGCACTTGAAATAGTTCTCTTTGTTGAGCTCTCTGAATGGAAGACGCTTCACACATTTAATCCTCAGAGGAGCCTATGAGGTGACTGGGATTATTCCCATTTTCAGAGGGGAAAACTGAGTTAGAAAGAAGCCAAGTAATCTGTGCATTTAGCTGCTATGACTTTGACTATTGTGATTCCCAGACCTTCTTCTCTGCTGCTTCTCAAGCCTCTCCGGTTGACAGTGTGTGTGTGTGTGTGTGTGTGTGTGTGTGTGTGTGTGGTACTGGGGATTGAACTCAGGGCCTTCTTACTAAGCTATATCCCCAACCCTTTTTAAACTTTTAATTTTGAGACAGGGTCTTGCCAAGTTGCCTGGGCTGGGCTTGAATTTGTGACCCTCTTGTCTCAGCCTCTCCAAGTGCCGCGGTTTTGGACAGGGGCCCCCTGATTATTACAGATGGAGGGAGGAGGAGAAGGGCTGGGTATTGTCACTTAAAGTGGCGCCCCTGGCAGAGCTGCAGGCATGGTCCAAGCGCTTGTTAGGACTGCAGAAATCCAGCCTTATCCTGGACACACCGAACCAGGAGCAGCATTTGTTTTTTTCTTTTGGTGCTGGGACTGAACTCAGGACCTTTCACTTGCCAGGCAGGCACCTGTGATGCTGAGCTACATCCCCAGCCCAGGAGCAGGATTTGAACAATGTGCCCAGCTGCAAAGTCTGCAGTTTGATGCAAAATGAAAGTTGCACCTGGGGCTTGGACTACTTCTCCTTGCGACATCCTCCTCGTCTCATCCTGTGCCTCCTTCAGTGTGGGACAAGAACCTAATCCCCAGGCGATGGCATGGAGCTGACACACACCAGGAAATCTTTTCTGAGTTAAATTGTACGTATATTATTCATTTAAACTTTTTAACATCTCTCCCCGGGAGGTGCTGGCCTTCTCCTTGTTGTGTAACGAGCAGACTGAGGCTCAGAGAGGTGAATAACTAGATCCAGATTGATACTCCACAAGTGAGCGGCTTCTTCTAAGAAACAAGCTTGGAGTGATTCTATCAAAAGCACCTGCCGGGCTGGACATGGCGCACACCTGTAATCCCAGCACTTGGGAGGCTGAGGCAGGAGGATCGTTGCAAGTTCGAGGCCAGCCTGGGCTACAAAGTGAGCTCATGGTCAGCCTGAACTGCATAGTGAGACCCTGTCTCAAAAAGACAAAAAAAAAAAAAAAAAATGCACCTGCCGAGGGTTCTACAACCTGCATGCAGGATGCGCTAAGCCCAGTCTTTCCGCCCTGGGTCCCCGTACCTCCCGGGGGGTGCAGAGTGCCATGGGCTGTTCGTGTTGTAGGCAAATATAAGTGTGCGTCATCCAGGGGTATCCATTTTTCTTCAAGATTTTTGTGGCAAAATACTATTTTCTAGCAAGACCAATGGCTACATTAGTGAATGCAAATACATTTCGTTTTTAAGATAAAAATGCAAAAAAGAGAAGGTGAAACTGAACTCATCCACTGGGGAAAGGTTTCCGTCCTGGACACTGCTAGGATAATACTTCTCAGGAATCAGCGTGCGTTTGCATGAGCCATGGGCCGGCGCGTTCCACAGCTGGAGACCTGTGTGGTCACAGCCGCCGCGCTCCTTGTAGCGCGCCGCTGCCGCTGTCTTCCCAGTCTTCCGCCTTTTAAACCAAGCGGAGCCCCGGGGGACGGCATTTATGTTAATGAGTTCATCCTGACCCGAGATCTGCTCTTCATTGTGTTGATAATGGAAATCTAATTTTGCCAGCACCCCGAGAGTAAAGCTATCATCGGGGCGTGCGCATGTGTGCTTATAATACTGGACACCAGCGAGGGATGTATTTGTGCGCATGAGTGTGTGTGTGTGCGCGCGCGTGCGCGCGCGCCTGCGTGTGTGTGTGTGTGTGTGTGTGTGTGTGTGTGTGTGGTGGGGCTGGGGAGGTACAGCAAGTGCGAGCATAGAGTTTGGGGAGGATGGCCTCTGTATTTTTCACTAAGGGAAACTATTTTCATAAAGAGGTTGAAGGTCATCTGGAGGAAGAACAGCACCAGCAGAGACAAGATGGTCTCGGAGGTCTGACAAGTCACATTTAGTTTTTAATTTATTTTTCATTATTTTTTTGAGACAGGGTCTCATTATGTAACCCAGGCTGGCCTTGAACTTGTGGCGATCCTCCTGCCTCAGCCTCCCAAATGCTAGGATTACAGGCCTGTGCCACCATGCCTGGCTATTTTTAAATTTTTAAATACACACACACACACACACACACACACACACGCATTTGTAGGGCAAAATGTTAGGTTTGGCATCAGATCGGGCAAGAGACAGAGGTAGATAAAACAAGCCTTTTTTGCAGGCGTGGGAGGGTTGCAGGAGATTGCAAGGACCCTCAGAGGAGCGAGCTGGGGAACGGGTTCTTATTAGATTGGACTAGAAGTGGAGTTAGTATGGGCAGGCAATGTGTCTATCTCGAGGGCTTTGGGAGTTAGTTGGCGCATGCGCAAAAGGGTGTAGGAAGTTTATCTCGGGGTCTGTAAAGGAACATAGAAGTGTGTGTCCCGGCCAGCGCCATTTCTGAGATTGTGGATGTCTATCATTCCCGCCTTTTTGTTGTTTGTTTGTTTGGGTTTTTTTTGTTTGTTTGTTTGTTTGTTTTGTTTTTCTGGTACCGGAAATCAAACTCACGACCTTGTGCTGGCCAGCGAGGTGCTCTGCCGCTGAGCAATGTCCTGGCCCCAGTCTTTTTGTTGTTAAGGGGCGATGAGTCTCAGACTGCTTACATTTGTCTTAGGGAGTAGCTACATCTGCTAAATTCTTTTATTCTGCTATCCCTTTCCTTTCTCTCCTCTTCCTTCTCTAGCTCCCTTTCCATTTGCAAACATCTATCTCACCTTTCTTTGTTGCTTCCTTCAGCCCAGCTCTGGCCGGGCCTCTCTGTGGAACCCTAAGCCTCAAGAGGGCCCTCTAAGCTTCGGTTCTAGGCCTAAGCATAAGCATGCAGCCAGAGCCTGTTCTCGGGGTAGAAGGAAAAGCAGAGAACTTAGGAGAGAAGGAGGTGGGTGGGGGGTGGGTAAACTGTGCGTAGGGAAATTGTTATTTTCCGCTGGTCTGGGCACATGGGACCTTGAAGAGTGCCTTGGAGAAATTGTTGGGGTAATACTTTTTAATCTCTCAATGTCTAGTATAGACTACAGTAATATGTATAATACGTAAAGATTAAATGTGCATATTGTAAGAATATTGGAGAAAGTGTAGCTTGGAAAGTGAAATTTCCCCAGGTCATTCTCTACCATCACCTGCTGCCCCTCAAAGTCAAAAATACGCAGTTAAGAGCTCAGTGTAGGGGCTGGGGATTTAGCTCAGCGGCAAAAAGCGTCTGCCTGGCAAACGCAAGGTCGTGAGTTCGGTTCCCGGTACCGGAGAAAAACCAAAAAAAAAAAAAAAGAGCTCAGTGTATTTGCTGTCACTGTATTAACTAGCGCAGCTAGTTAAATAACTAAATATGTGTACAAGAACATACGGAAATAAATAACTAAATATGCGTACAGGAAGACACGTACAAGTCTGTGCGTAAATATGAGCGCCAACATATAAATTCACCAAGATGACCCAGGCCACAAAGCAAACTGGAAAGCTTGTGTCATGTGGCCCTGGACCTTCTCTATGCAAGACCAAGTAGCATAAAAAGATAGCTAATCTGAAATTCCTTTTTTTTTTTTTTTTTTTTTTTTGAGACAGGGTCTCGCTGTGCAGTTCAGGCTGGCCTTGAGCTCACTTTGTAGCTGAGGCTGGTCTCGAACTCACAGTGATCCTCCTGCCTCAGCCTCCCAAGTGCTGGAATTACAGGCATGCACCACCACATGCCTGGCTGAAATTCCTGATCTGAGTGTGGAAACAAAACAGAGGGAATGAGTTAACCTTCTATAATGCCTCTTAGGTAAAAGGGTGCCTCTCCTGCCCCCATGAGTATCAGGGACTGGAATTTCAGGGATCACATTTTGGGTACAGTTGATCTTCTCTATGTCATTTTGAGGTTACCTTATTGCATGTATTTTATAACTGGGTTATAGTGTTCTTTTTAAAATTCCTTACATTTGGGTGAAAATTAACAGCTTTTAAAGAAATCTACCTATGAGTTCTTTAAAAAGATGTGTCATGACTTATTTAAGTGATCACAACTGTCTTACTTCTTGCATATTTTCAAAGAGACTAGGAAAAGGGAAAATTTCAAGAGTGATTATTAATCATAAATCGATGGGCCCCAATCCTATTCATATTAATAAATCTAAGAGCAAGCCCTGTCGTTAGCTATGCATGTAAATATATAAGGTGTTTCTTAAAAAACAGCCGTTATCCTTGTACCCTTCATGTTTATAAACCTAGAGATGTGGGCTCTGATTACTTTCAGGAGCATTAATACAGAACAGATGACAGATGGTTCCTCTGGCACTGAAGTGTTCTTCACCTCATCCACTAGAGGGTACCTGAGAGTTAGCCAACGAAAGCACTCAGGAAATTAAATTTCAAAATCTGAGCTAGAGACCGACCACAGACCTAAAGTGACATAGACACCATACTTGTGGTACGTTATTAACAAATTAAATTTCTTAAAAGACAGCTATGACTCCCCAACCCCAAATCGCAGCATCCTGATCCTCTTCCACCTGTATACTGAGACTCACTTTTGAAAAATATGTGTACCTTGCCCAGGTAGGGGGGTAAAGGACCTTTTACAACATATTAAATGTTAATATCTTTCTAGTGCAAATGGTGATGTTTAAGTCTACTGGAAAAGGTTGGTAATTTTATTATCACAGTCCCAGAACTGTTTCTCTATTTGGTGTAATTAGTATGCTATTTAATTGGATTCACCCTGAACAGTCTCCTGAAAGATGCAAAATGATGTTGTTCTTTGGTTAGGTTCACCTTCTACTTCTCACTCCCACTTCATGTTCCGGTAAGAGCCAATTATTGCACTGCATATTAAAACGAGAAACTGGAAATAGTCCAAATAACCAATAGTAGGAAATAGAAAAGCCGACAGTGGTGTTTTATGATAATGGGTATCTATGGTAATCCATTAATTATAGCATGGATAAATTACAATGTTAATGCAATAGCATTAGGAATGAATTTACAAAAAGGCGTTGACTGTCTAATCATCAGTTCTTGTGCTCTGTGGGTGAGCCCAGGAAAAAATTCTGGCTGTTAAGGAGTGTGTGGTTTGGTGAGCTTGAAGTGTATGAACAGAGCTATGATCAGATATTAGAAGGTAGGGATTATGGGCATGGGCTTTGGAATGAGATGTTCAGACTCTCCCATGCCTTTGTTGTATGACCTTAAACAAATTTCAACTGTCACTCAGCCTTGGTCTCGACACCTGTTAAATGCATGTGACTTCTGATTGTGATGTGTCAGCTGGGCTGGATACGAACTGTCTAGCATATTAATAAAGTTCTGGGTGTGTCTGTGGGTGACTGTCATGTAGGCCAGCAAACTGAGTTGGGTATATCCAATGTACTCTGGATATGAGCGGTACCAACCAATAGGTTTGTGGCCTAGATACAATAAAAAGGGGAGAAAGGAAGCTCTTTTTGAGGAGCTCCAGTCTTTGCCATTTTCTTTGGACACTGGGCCTCAGTTTCTCTGGTCTTCTGAGACTCTTCAAATTTCCAGTGGAGACTCACACTGGTGACTTTACAGTGAGCTTCTAGGCCTTTGATCTTTGACTGCTACTGGAGCCTCTGGCTTCCAGCACACAGGGCGCCATTTTGGATTTGCCCGCCTCTGATCCTGTAGAGAGCCGCTGTCTCTTCCACCTCAGATCCCGCCAGCCTACCTAATAAATTTCTCTGTATAATTATATACT